GTCCTGTCTCTCCAGTTCAGCGTTCTCACCATATATTTCTCCATTCCTTTGCGTCTCGTCCTCCCCTCCTCCGTTTGCCTCCTCCGTCGTCGCTTGTTGTCGCTCCGCCTCCTCTGTCTGAATTTCTCTGTGCCGCTAGCCCTCTTTTTTCTCGGGTCCTCACCTCCCTCGTTACCGACCCGTCCGTTGTCTCCAGTCTTGACGGTCTTGTCGCTGCCGTTACTGACTTTACGTCTACCCACCGCCTTGACTACGCCACCGCTCTGGTCTCTGACCTTGCCCTTCCTCCGTCTGTTGGGGTTGCTGCTGCTCTTGGCAGTGACGTCCTGGAGGACCAGCAGTACGAGCTTGCTTTCCAGTCCGAGGTCGCGCATCATCTCTGCTCCATGCTGCTAGTCCCTGAGGGTGACCCAGACGCCTTCGACATCCCGACCCCTTGCACTTACGCTGAGGGGACCTCAGGACCCTAGGCCTCTCAGTGGATAGCTGCCATGGACGCAGAGATGGCATCTTGGAGATCCACCGGCACCTACGTCAATGCAGTTCCCCCACCTGGGGTGAACGTAGTCGATGGCCGGTGGCTCTTCAAGATGCAGCGCCCGCATGGAGAACCGCCGGTGTTCAAGGCGCGCTACGTTGCGAATGGCTTCAGTAAACGTCAGGGGGTTGACTTCTTCTTCACCATCGCCCCAACCCCGAACGTGACTACTCTTCGGGCGCTGTTACACGTAGCAGTACAACGTGGCTACGAGCTGTACTCTCTCGACTTCTCGACAGCGTTTCTTCAGAGCAGTCTGCACGAGCAGGTCTACCTATGCTGCCCTCTAGGCTTCACCGCCACCTTCGCCCCTGGGGCCCAATGGCTCATCTAGCACCCAGTTTACGGCATGCGGCAGGCGCCCCGAGTGTGGCACAACACGCTGCGTGTTACGCTAGCTAACCTGCAGTTCTTCCCGTCCTCTGCAGACCCTTCGCTCTTCGTTCGCTCATGTCAGACTCTGTTCTACATCCTTGTCTACGTATACAACGTCATCGTCGCTACTGCAGACAGAGGCGCACTACATCCATGAAGGTCGAGCTGCTGAAGAGACACACCTGCACTGACCTAGGAGAGCTGCACTGCTACATTGGCCTGCTCTGGGACAGAGCAGCGCACACCATCACTCTCACACAGTAACAATCGGTACGTTAGGTCCTTCAGAGGTTCGATCTTCAGTTCTCCTCCGCACAGCCCACATATCTGCCAGTAGACCACAGGCTCTCGGCTCCAGTCCATGATGAGCCAGTAGATCCTAGCGGTCCGTACGCTGAGCTGAAATTTACGCTTGTGCCATGGCGGCACAAGAGGTCCGCTGACTGACCTTCTTGCTCACCAACTTAGGTAAGCAGCCTAACTCTGCCCCGGTCGTGTATGCTGACAACAGGGCCATGATCATCCTGTGTCAGGAGCCTCGACTCGAGGGCAGAGCGAAGCAAATCCAGCTGCAGTACTTCCTCCAGTGCGAGCTACAGCAACGCCGCCAGGCCCGTGTAGTACACTTGACTTCCAGTGCGAATACAGCTGATATCTTTATGAAGGCGCTTGCGCCTAAAGATCATCAACGGAACGGTGTATAGCTTGGTCTAGTTCCTGTAGCTCCTCACTTGCTAGGGCCTTAATTGTCTACTGCTCTTTTATATATATATTCTCTTGACTGGCCATGTGGCTTCTCTTCCAGTGGCCGGACTAGTAGTGCCGCCCTGGTTTGCTCTGGTCTTGTTTATACCCTTGCTGACTGGTCTTTGGACCCTTGCCTCAGAGGTTGGACTAGTAGTGTCGTCCTGTGCTTTGTCTCTCTTGCCAGGCTCTTTGTCTAGCCTAGGGGGTGTGTGAACATATATATTTGTATATGTTTATAGGCTAGCTAGGAGCATACCATAGAGAGTACAACACTTAGAACAAACCTACCCTGTATGCCCTATCCTAGTCAATTCGTTACCTTGAGACTGATGGTGTCTTTCTGGCCGATCATGAGTTAGTGGTCTGGGCGGGTCAGGTGGGGGGCATCAATTTTTTGCTGATGGATCATAGCATGTGCCCGTTTTCTCATCTGTGTTGCAACATTCTAGTGTGATGTCAAGCCCAAAGTCACAAGGTGAAACAAGGCGGTGAAAGACGAGGCAAGGGATGGGCTTCAGACGACGCTGTGGTGGTGTGGGCAGTTGTTAGGATGGAAGTAACGTGCTGGTTGAAAGGGAGCACCACACGACCTTGCTTTCTTGTAATTGTGTCCCTTCTTTCTTCTTACTATGTAATTTGCAAACGTACTATGTATATAGTGAAACTGTTTTGACATGTCTCTGCGACTAATGCTTATATGGAAGCCTAGCCTGGTCATTCGGGTCTCGTCTCATCTTGTCACTGACCATCGTGGCCGGTTGGTGTGTGTCCCTGATCCTGTATATGCGGGGCGGATCAGGATGAGATGATGATGGTGTGTCCCGCGTGTACGGTTCATTGCGGTTGGGTAAGATCCTTTCTCTATTCAGAAAGTAATCATGGCGATCGAAAATGGTTGGATAGGGTTTTGATTGAAAAACGTACGCGGGGGACACGCCGTTAGTCTGCTGCTCTGCTCCTAAGGTCAAGGCAGGTTTGCTGACCGGTGGGCGCACTGAAGGTCAACAACACTTGCTGCTCCGTTTTGGATTGGCCTCGGTGCTCTGTAGAATTCATAACTTTTCTGAACTTTTGTACAGCACTGTTGTGCACAATATTTTTTCTCTACAGTTGTGTTACGGTACCCTTACATATGAGCAGTTGAGGAAACTGTTTGTCCACAGCTGCAGAACTGAGCTGGCAACTGCCGCCACTAGCTGCTCGTCGTTGGTCCTCACCTGTGCAGACACGCAAGTTGTTTCTTCTTGTATGGCCGAGAAGAACTTTCTTCACGTGCCTCACTCACACCCCACATACACATGTTCTTGGATTCAGACACTCGAATTGTTCGCGCGGTTCGTGCATGTATCCTCTGGTCAAAACGCCGGGCAAAATGTGCTTGTACACTTCTCGGGCGGCAACGGCCGCAATTTTGCAAATAAATCAGGCTGGAGTGGCGCGTCTGTTCTGCTAAATTGTCGGGTAACCTGCCCCATCGCAACTGAAACGGAGTCTGTTTTTCAACTGATGAGTTGTCGCCAATCGGTAGTCTAACTCTTCGGCTTGAGATGACGTGTCTTAAGATTAACCAACCTAAAACCTCCTAAACCTTCCGCATTAAAACATTTGTTCTTTACGTGGCGTAATGTCAAGACAATGGCTGGCGACAAAACTGCTAGTGTTTTCGTTAGTCTTAAACAATCACTAATCTGATCCTTTCGACGCCTCCCATTGGATGATTTCAAATCTCAAGGATATCTTGAACAGTAGAAGCGTTTCATGCTACACAGTGAATGTGCTCTTACACTGCGTGATACGAGCAGGGCATATACGTCATTGTGTCTTTATCCGGTTTGTGCGAGTAGCTCGGATGTCTGTAAGAGGGATCATGTGTACGGTATGTGACGACTACTGCTGCGACGACCGAATATCAGGCCTCTCGATAACCTAGGGGTCACCATGCAGAATCCGAGTCTGCCCGGGATCCAACTCGTCCAGGCTGGGTAGCCCTAAATCTTTTGCCTGTTTTTGCAGGCCAGAGTTTCGACCAGCTTGGAATATGCCACTCTTGACAATGACAGGGGGAGCAATTTTTTCTAGGGGTGCGAAATTTTACATTAAATTTTACAGGGTGAGTCCATCTCCTTCTCGAAAATCGGACGTGGGATGATTTTGGGTTGCCTTTCCATGGACGGGTATCGATATTCTGAATGCGTCAAAAGCAGGGATAGGTCTCAAATTTATCCTGTTTTCCTTGACAAATCAGTGTAGTTACCCTGACTTCCAGAGGCCTGCCGCATATGCGTCACGCAAGGCCGAGTGGACGGGTCTTTGTTCAACCACTGGAGTGTACGTAGCTTGGAAGATTGCCCAAGTGCATGGGATGGGACTGGGCCTGCATTCATTCCCATAGCCCCATGCCGCCACTTGGTTTCCGCTTTCCATTTTGCCAACCCATCGTCACGTCAAGGCTTGAGCAGTGCCTGTGCAAGCGTCAAAGGCCGCGTTCCGTGGCCCTTCTCACGGTACGGCCGCACAACGCCGACGTGAATCCGCGAAGCCAAAGAGCCGACGATGCAAGCCTGTCTGCTCTCATTGTTTTTTTTCTCATCTTTCATCGGTAGGTGGTTTCTCTTGATGCCGTTCAACTAGGTTATTCAGCTAACAACTTCGTAGTACTAGTACTAGAGTCGCCATGCCGCATTCCTCCGAGTCGGACGCGATCGCCTCGCCGTCCCAATCCTCTTCGCTCGGCGTACAGCCGTGGTCCAAAGAGGTGAGTCCCGCTCAGCCCGGTAGTCCCGTGGAGTGCATGCGTGCGCTCCTACTCTTCTCGCGAACAGCTCTTCCTTTCTCTAAGATTCGCTGGATTTTTGCAGGATCGGACTCGTCTTGAGATACCTCGAGAACTAGCGCCGAGGAGTTCCACAAGACACACCTAACCACGCGCTCCGTGTGTAGGCTCTTATGCCGTACTCCGTGTGCCATCTCATCCAATGTTCATCATCCCAAAAATCGTGGTGGCGAAATGTTACCCCCAACTTTACCACAAGTGACTTTGGGGTTTCGCTCAGCGGCTTGGCTGGCTTGGCCCAACTTTACCTAAGCGGCTTGGCTGCCCTCAGCCAAGCAAACCGCGTGCTCTACTCCGTAGCGGCTTGGCCCAACTTTACCTAAGCGGCTTGGCTGCCCTCAGCCAAGCAAACCGCGTGCTCTACTCCGTAGCGGGCGACTTTTCCAACATCACGTCATTGTGTGTCATGGGTACTCTGCCCATCTCCTAACGTCGCCCGCCTTCTTTGCACGCCCCTGCTGGTCCAACAGAAACTTTTGAAGAATGGTGAGATAGTTTGCCCTATCATCCTGGCATCTGACGTAACAACGTTAAGTGGACACCAGCGCACCCGTGTGTGGCCGGTGTACTTGACATGCGCCAACATACAGTACTCCCTTCGCTGGCGGGAGACGGGTCGCGTGCTCCTTGGACTGCTGCCCATGCCGCATGAGAAGATGACTCCGGTGCAGAAGGTCATTCTGTTCCAGAAGGCCATGCACGTCCTCCTACATGATCTCTTCCCGGCATCTCAATGGTATGTTTTGCCTCTCTGTGTTCCGCCCACCTCTGCTACGCATGCCTTCAGTGCCTTTTATTCCCCCACTGTCCAGGCGCCATGCCATGGTTCCCTGTTTGCCGTGGCTGCCAGGCATGCCCCCCCGTCCTCTGTGCATATCCCCTGCGTGTCCCGGTGTCTGATACGCATGCATTGGCGATGCAGCACACCCCCCTGTTCACGGTGTGAGCCATGGCTGCCTTGCATCCGCCCCTGCTTGAAATGCATGCCCAGCACGGCTGTGCGTCCGCTCCTTACCTCCCTGGAATGCCATGCCAGTCAGAGCGTGCTCCCATGATGCTCTCCTGCTGCCCTTCCTCTTCCAACTCTCAGGGGCACACCACTAACGGATCCTCAGGGCGTGGTGCACACCGTGTACCCCATCCTCTATGCGTATGTGGGTGATTACCCCGAAATATGCAAGGTCTCTTGCACGCTGCAGCTGGGCAGTGATATGCCTTGCTCAGTGTGCTATGTGGGGAAGAACTACCTGTGGGTCATTCGCGATGGGCTGAATGCCCCCCGCACTGTGGAGCAACAGATGAGGCTGTTGAATGACCCCGAGGAGGCTGCAAAGTATTCCACACATCCCGTCGAGGTGAGCTAGTTTGGGTCCCATGATTCCTGATGAGGCATTATCCGGTGCTGATTGTTTAGCCTCGCGTCGTGGAACCCACCCCTTGAGTCCATCAGGAAAGTGACAATGCCAGCATATATGCATTGCGTCCGTCACATTTCCCGTGTTGTTGCATGCAGAGTTTTCTCTGGAGTTTCCACCGACCATCATCCAAATTGGGCAACACATACCAGGCCCTGATGCCCGATCTCCTCCACATATTGTATGGGGGCGTACTTCCCCGCCTCGTCCACGTCGCAAAGGGCGGCGACGCAAATGCTCTCGTGCTCGATGAGTGCGTGCTCCAGTCTCTCTTAGGATGTTTGCATGCCGTTCCTGTGTGTCCCCCTCTCCACGAAACCCTGCATGCATTCATGCCCTTCTTGTTTTTCCCCCCATGGACAGCCGCTTGCTCGCTGCATACGACGCAGCCATCCTGGCAGGTGTTCCCCTCCCGTCAGGCCTCTACTTCTCAAGGAATGCTTACTACTCCGCGGCAGAGCACGCTGCAATGCTCACGGTGAGCCCCCCTGCCCCAACTCCCAGTTTCGTGCAGTGTTTGTGTCCCTTCAGTCACCCCGCACGGGCAGCCCAGTCCCTTACCCCTCCCTACCCACCCACCTAAACCGTTGTCGTCTTGTAGCCTGGGCCACACGGAAGCATGTCATGCATGCCATCCCTAAACCCCCCTTCCCTGGCTGTCAGGGTGTGATGGCATGCGTGCTGGGAGGGGGGTTGTTGTGGCGTCGGTTGTTTTCGGCAATCGCACGCTGCTTGATATGCATGCCCACCCATACCCATGCTGCGCCACATACGTTGCCATCTTCTGACTATCATGACGCATGCGCACTGGTACACTCCGAGTCCCGTGTGGGCCAGACGTTTGTGCTGATTTTGGCGTTCGGCTTGGGCCTGCCTAGAGCATTCGTCCACCGGGCGGTTCTGTGCGTGTACCCCGTGCAGGTTCTCCCGTTTTTGTTGGAGGGGCGCGTTGAACCTGTGCAACTGACGGCAGTCGTCTACTTTGCCGATTGGCATCACAACCACATCCGGGCCGAGTCATACACTGAGGAGTCACTGCGGCAGATGGAGTTGGACACGGCTGAGTGAGTGGCTGCTAGTGCTGCCCTTGGGCGTGTGTACTGATTTTCCTCTAAATTAGACCGTGTCGTGCTTCGCAGCCCGTTCTGAATGAGCCCCTCATAATTGTGTTTCCGTTAGCAGGCTGGTGCGGCTGCTGATGACACAGTTTCCCAGAGGCGGGCATGGATGGAACCTTATCAAGGTCCACGGGTTCAATCACCTCCCTGAGGCTATCAGGCGCGGCGGACATCCCCGGGAGTACTCCACGGCGCCCTATGAGAATGCGCATATACGAAACTGCAAAGCCCCGTACAGAACTTCAAACAAGCGGGACTACGAAGCTGCCATCCTATCCGGAAGCACCACCCGTCACGCCATGGCCGTGCTACCTCCAGCTTCTGTGGAAGGCCCTCGTGAATACAACACGGCCGCCAAGCGGGTAAGCAACCTACCCTGGCCGAGTGTGACTCTGTCTGCTGTTAGGAGCCCACTATGCTTGCCGTGTTGCGACACCTACTAGTTTCCAGAACCCACTCTGCTTGCCACAGCACAACAGAGGCTTTCTGAAACCACTCTGCTTGCAATGGCACCAGAGTGGTTTTAGGAAACCACGTTGCTTGCAATGGCAGCAGAGTGGTTTTCTGAGCCCACTTTGCTTGCCATTGCACCAGAATGGTTTTTTGAAACCACTCTGCTTTCAATGGCAGCAGAGTGGTTTTCAGAGCCCACTCTGCTTGCCATTGCACCAGAATGGTTTTTTGAAACCACTCTGCTTGCAATGGCAGCAGAGTGGTTTTCTGGTCCCACTATAGTCGCCATGGCACCGGTGTCGTTTTCTGAGCCCACTCTTCGTGCCATGGCACCAGAGTGGTTTTATGAACCCACTCTGCTTGCCACAGCACCAGAGTGGTTATCTGTGCCCACTGTGTTTGACATGGCACCAGAGTGATTTTATGCTCCCACTCTGATTGCCGTGGAACCAGAGTGGTTATCTGGTCCCACTCTGCTTCCCTTGGCACAAGAGTGATTATCTGGCCCAACTCTTCTTGCCATGGCACCAGGGTGGCAGGCTGAACCCATTCTGCTTGCCCTGTCACCAGGGTTGCATTTTTAACCCACTCTGCCTGCCATGGCACCAGAGTGGTTTTCTAAACCGACTCTGCCTGCCATGGCACCAGAGTGGCATGTGTGATCTGGCTGTGCCGTACAATGGCACAAGATTGGCAGTGGAGACCCTCTCTGGGAGCCTAATAACCGTGATTGTTCTAGCCAGTGGTTATGGGGGAGTGGTACTCTCTGCACATTCTGCAGGGCTTGTCGCTGCTCTTGGCTGCCCTGCCCCTATGCAAGCACTGGGTAAAGAGGGGCACCCTCAGCCCTTTGCATGCCGTGGCTCCAGCGTGCCCTGCCTACAGTGCTGCTTGGTGCCAGAGAGACAGGCCTGGCCACTCTCACCGGAGTAGGGCAGGAGAGGTCCCATTGGTCCACAGTGCAGTCGATGCCTGCAGGCAAGTCATCTCTTGTCACTATGTATCCCATGTCATGACAGAATGTTTTGCAGTGTGTCCACGGGTGTAGGCACTGGGGTCCTAATGGCCACTTCTCCCTCCCCATACCCCCCCACCCCCACCCACAACCTCCCCACACCCTCCCCACGCGGCGCCATACACCCATTCGGTTGCAGGCACGTCTCTCCAGATCCAACACGCTTACCAGCACTAGTGCTCTCTTGACAGATGGGACTGGGACCCATACAAGGGGGGATGCTCTTCTGGCACAGTACAACGCCGCTTCAGAGGGTTGCCTTTCTCGGTATCCCCAGGTCATGCAGCAGCATGGATACAGCAGTGCAACTGCCCAGGTGTGCAACCCTAAATACCTCCCTTCGCTGCTTCAGTCTGCATTTTGCGTGATCTCCACCCGCTGGTTTTGAAAACTCCTCACACGGTGGCTGTGGTTCCTCTTGCTCAGGCACATCGGGCAGTGGCGCTTCCAGCCAGGGACGTGCGCACGGGCGAGCAGTCGGCCTGCTATGCCCGAGCAGCGGTCCGCCACCACGGAAGCCCAGCATTTTCCAGTGTGGAGTACCGTGGAGGGGATTCAGAGCTGCGGTATGGCAAGTTGGTCCTACTGTTGCGTGCCAAGAAGCTGGGTGCGGACCTGGGAGACGCTGAGCGTGAGGTGGCATACATCAAGCCATGGAAGCGGGTTGGTGTGGATGGGCCTACAGGCTGTGTGCAGCTCCAAGAGATGAGTAGGCCCGAGGCTCACGATGTTGTACCTATTACCAGCATTGTCCGCACTGTGCATGTTGTGAGGTCGTTTGAGCGCCCACGCATATGGCTGCTGAATAAATGGGCCGATGGGTTGCGAAAAGGTGGGGTGTGAGTTCTCGCCAATGTGTGAGGCTCATGTGACGTCTTGATATTTCCTGTAACGGTTTGTACTGTTGCTCGGGTTGTTGTGGATTGTTGGGGCTTAGTCGCCGATTTTTGTTGGACGTGCGTGTGTGTCATTTTGAGTTGCGTAGTATTACTCTCTAGCATTCATTTGAAAAAAAGGACAACAACCTTGTCTGATTGACTGGTATATCATCCCAATAGCCATTGCATCAGAACCGCCAATTGGTTTAGTACTCTATTCGAGTCATACAGAAGTCGCGAATGCGGGGCTCATTTGTGGGCCTGTGGGCCGAGCCTCGGGTGGTGCCCAGGTCCGTGTCGAGCCTGTGAAGTAACCCACAAGTCTCAACGAACGGAAATCACACCCTATTGGCTGGATCCAACCCGCGCGATGCTGGGCGAGATTCTGGCGAATTTCTCGGCTGTCGCCACTAGCAACATGTGACCCTGCGGGGTCTTGTGGGGAACTTAGGGTTGTCTGGGGGTGGGTAACCCACAGGTGTCCCACTCCCCCCAGGTCGAAATGCCTTTCGGGATTTTTGGGATGATGGCGGAAGTACGCCGCCGTTGTGTTGCGCCATGCGCGGGGCTGAGCGCCTTTGCGTCATCTCAATGTTGATATATCTGTGGTGTTGAGTCTCATCCTCCTCCCCACTCACTCACCCGCACACGGCAGGAGGACGCGGTTCTGCTACGCCATGCGCTGCATTGCGGCACGAGGCAGTGGGGAGAGTTGGGGAGGAGCGGTCAGCTGAAGAGAAACAACAAGTCGTGCTGTAACCGCTACATCTTCCTCAGAAGGTGACGATGCAGGCCGCTTTTGTTTTTCATAATTTCAGCGCTCGCCAGCTCGGAACCTTTTCTGAGCACAACTTCTGTGGGCATGTCTGGTGGCAGAAAGTTCGTCCAGCGCTTTCAGCAGAATCTCCTGAGAGAGTACCTTGGAGGCGCTGCATTCCCTCAGCGCCACCAGCAGCACCACCACCACCATCAGCAGCGACAGCAGGATGGCGCACCTGGGTCGACGTCGCCCGCTCTTACCTTTGGGGGGCTGTCGTTTGATGAGTGCAGGAGCGTCTTCCTCTCACCCAATGCCCGCCGCCCTACAGCCCAGGCGAGCCTCGCAGCTGCCTTCAGCGCTGCCGCTGCCTCCCATGCCGCTGCTCTCTCAACAGCCCATGCCAACCCCTCATCTGCCGTCGTCCTTGGTACTGCTCCCTCACATGGTGCTCCTTCCCGCGCAGCTGCTTTCTCCACTGCTGCTGCTGATCCAATTGTCGCCACATGCGCTGCTGCTGCTTCTGTCTCCAGTGCTGGGTTATTCAATGCCGCTTTCCCCAATAAGGCTGCCGCTGCTGTCTCCAGTGCTGCTGCCCCCAACCTGCCCATGAAGCGAGCACGGGAGGACTGGGCCGGGCTTATGGTTGACCAATCCCTGTCGGATCTGGCTGGGAGTGGGTGGGCCCGCCGCACGCTGCGCCACTCGCAGTCCTTAAAAGACAATTTCCGGCAGCAGGGTTGGGAGAGCAGCAGCATGCAGGCAGCGCTGTGGGCTCGCGTGGGGTCGGAGAGTGCGCTTCCAGACGATGTGCTGTTGGGATCCAGCTGCGAGGACCCTCACTTCAACGTTTCACATGCACCACTGCCAGTGCCACTGCCAGCCCCTCTCTCCGCCCAACCACAGGCACTACTGTCAGCGCCTCTGCCCACCCAACTTGCTGCTCGGACCGATTCTGTTACCGAGAGAATAAGCAGCTTCTTTGGACGGCCGCTCTCCTTAGAAAATGATTCTGCGGCACAGGACCTGGTCCTGCCCATGGGCGCGTGCAGGCCAGCGCAAGAAGCCTACCCTCTCTTTCTCAACGCCCCAATGCCTCACCCGAGCCGGCCTGCGCCTGCCTCCCGCCTGCCCTTGGCGACTGAGCCTCAGGGACGGGCGCTGGCAGCCTGCCTTCCCAAGCCAGCACTGCTAAAGTCGGCTCTGGAACAAGGGGGGGCGGGGGAGGGGGTTGCTCAAGTGCAGCCGTATATGCACACGCTGGGGCAAGGAGTGGGTGTGGAAGGAACCACTCCTCCACAGAAACGCCACCAGCAGCTGAATGGTCGACAGTTTCTGCAGCAGGGGCTCAACCCCTCTTTCTCATCACACCAGCCGCTGCCAGAGCCGCTGCTAGAGCCACTGACACAACCACCACCAGAGCCACTGCCTTTAGAACAGTCATTGGCTCTGGCACCGTCACAGGCGCTTCTCCTGTCTGCTCTTTCCCAACAGCCACTGGCCCTTGACACAACCACTAACCCTCCAGGTGCAGGGTGCATGCCCTCGGTCCTTAGCGGCTCACACATTCATCCTCCCACACGACCAGGCCGGGCCCTGCTCCAGATGCCATATATCCCTTCAGCATCTCGCGTGCCTTTTGCTCCGTCGCACTTACAGCCACGCCTTCCCCTGCCACAGGAGCCCCTCATCCCTTCACCAGCACTCACAAACCAGGCGCCTGTTCCTTGGCCTGGCATGACCGATGCTCTGGGAGATGATGGGGCTTTGTTGCATGCCATGGCTGATCCTGGCCTTGACCCAAATGTGTGCGCCTCGACTCATTTGATTGAGCTGGGAGGAGCAACTGACGTGAAGCCCGAGACTGGTACCTGGGATGGGAGCATGACTGTCAGCAACTCGTGGCATGAAGCCTCTGGCTTTCCAGATACAGCCATGTGCCCTCCTGGGATGCCACCATCTGCGCATATACTACAGATACATCGGGGTTTTAATGACCAAGCGATTGATGTCATTAGCTATACGAATGGAATATTGCCTTACTTGTCATACCAAAGCTGAGGTAATTAGCATTCAGATATGTAATGCGTCCTTATTGTGTGCGTTTTTCTATTTTAATCGATTTTGAGACTAGTACTATCCCGTAATAAGATACGGAATCTGTGTAACGCATTGAAGGCAGGCAATGAAGGGGACTGCAGTGTGCACGGATCAGAAATGGTGGTCAAGCACTCTCTTCACCTCACATCGCCATGCCACCACATATCAGTCACACCCAGATGACTGTGGCCCAAAAGGAAGGACCAGCATGCCCAACAGCCAAACAGCTCGATGATTGACACGTGTGCAATCCCGAATCTTTGGGATGACGAGCTGTGGGGCCAACCCAGCGGTGCTGTTGAACCATTCGTCCCACGGTCAAGGGCACGGGTACACTTGGCCGATGCCAAGTGGCCTGCTTCTGCCCGCAGCACTGAGCTTCATGGTCGGTACAGTAAATTCGCTCTAGGGGTGATGATGAGGGTTGTTTGTCGATTCAGCTTCCTACGGATTGTAGTATGTTTGATCCTGGGGTCTTGGTGTTCTGTAGTACCCTTGTTGCCCGAGCCAGTCACTCCAGGTTTTGGGGTGGCGGGGACTGAAAATGCCATTTTCATTTCGCGGACCTCGCAACGGGCAGATGGGACTGGAAGTGTTGTTATTGGGTTACCCTTTTTGTCATACGCGGGATGTTGGGTTGGGGGAAGGGGGGGCTAAATTTGTTCGATTATCAACAGCCCCCGGCGAAGTGGTTTGCGGAGAGGCTGGACGGGCCACTGGGTTTTTTTCGCGGCAGGCAAGCTCCATAACTGCCGGTGTAGTGGAAACAGTACACACCATGTGCTTCAAAACGGGGTGCGGTTGCCCGTGCTAGAAACAGAAGGGATGCGGGAAGCGTTTGTGAGTGAACCGTGACCTGACTGACTCGGGCAACAATGGTACCGCTCTAGGGTTTCAGTGTGCGCTGATTCACTTCTTGGAGTGTTCCGTCTTGTTGACTGTTCGTTGCGCCAGCCTGTGGGCGTGGCAGCTTCGGAGGAAGTTGATCTGTGTGAGGAAAATGGTTTTCCATTTCTGAGTGGTCATCACGTGCCTCCTACCATTGCAAGAAAGGTCATTACAGTTCCAAGTCCAATTGGTTTGCCGCATGCGATCTCCAGCTCAGGAGGCAGAATGCCGTCAGCATCTCCTCCGCCCACAGGCAATCATCACAGTAACCATACTGGCTAGGCTAGAGGGTTCTCCTATCGCGAGTGCGCCCATCGTTGACAGTGCGAATGCGCGAGAGTCGAAGTCGGTGTGCAGGTGGATGTGGGCCGCGGATGGAAGCGCAGCATTTCCTTTCAGGTGAAACCCTCAAGAGGCGAAAGCCGCATAGCCTTGAACGGAGCTTGTGCCGTAGTGTTGGCCTTTCACTAGACGGCACCGTGCCGAGGCCAAAATGTCAAAACAGTTATCAGAGCCAGAGCGTCGTTGTGATGGGCTTGCGCAAGATTCGCTTTAGCAATTAGCCATTCTCAGCTATCTAGTACTAGTCAGTAGAGCCGCCATGCCGCATTCGTCAGAAGCGATCACTTCGCCGTCCCAATCCCAATCCTCGTCGCTCGCCGTCAAGCCGTGGTCCGCAGAGGTGAGCGCCACTGGTGCGAGTCGTAGTACACTCGCCGTCAGGCTGCTGGTCCCTTCAATGCCGCCGCGTGCGCTCCGCTTTTCTCGCGAGCAGAGACTATTCCAAATATCTGCCGGATGTCCAGCCTGGGAGATGGGATTGCCGCCTTCCGTAGGTGCCTCAGAAGATTTGAGAGCATGCCGGTGGATATTCTGCGCTGCTGCACGCCTCTCATTGGCCTGGATACCTTCAAGGCGTGCAGTGTTTATGACAGGAGGGCGCCGTGACATGCGGCATGTGCGTCGACGGCTCCGGCATCTCCTGCCGTGGACTTTGCTCCAACACTCACTCACCATGGCAGGAGGACGCCGTTCCGTGCTGAGCCATGCTCAGAGTTCAACAGCGTCCGAGTTTCGTTTCTACGAGGCATTTTCCGGGGTCTCAACGTTGTCTCCCCACTCCCTCACCACTAACGGCAGGAGGACGCGGTTCTGCTGCGCCATGCGCTGCATTGCGGCACGAGGCAGTGGGGAGAGTTGGGGAGGAGCGGTCAGCTGAAGAGAAACAACAAGTCGTGCTGTAATCGTTACATCTTCCTCAGAAGGTAACCCTACATGCCACTTTTTTTTCAAATGGAAGTGCGCCAACACGCCTGAGCCGAGCACTTCTTGAGTGGCCCTTTCCCATCAGCTTTCCTTCCATGTGAGGTAACCTCAGCGTACTGCCAAGTCAGCTTTTCTGACCGGCTCTTCTGTGGGCTTATCTGGTGGCAGGAAGTTCGTCCAACGCTTTCAGCAGAATCTCCTGCGAGAGCAGCTGGGAGGCGCTGCATTTCCTCAGCACATAGCCTTGGAGGCGCACAGCCAGCTGCTGCTGAGGCGTGACGGCCAGCAGCAGCAGCATCAGCAGCAGAAGCACCAGCACCAGCAGCAGCAATACTGGCACCAACCGCAGCCGCAGCAGCAGGGGCAGCAGGGTGGCGTGGGTTCACCCGGGTCGCAATCGCCTGCTCTTACTTTCGGCGGGCTGTCGTTTGAAGAGTGCAGGAGCGTCTTCCTCTCACCCAATGCGCGCCCACTAACAGCCCAGGCGAGCCTCGCGTCTGCCAGCACTGCTGCTGCCTCCAATGCTGCTTTCCCCGGTGCCTCTTTCTCCAGTGCCTCTCTCTCGGGTGCGTCTCTCCCTGGTGCCGCTGCTGACTCCAACGCTCCTGCTGTGTCCAACGCTGCTGTGTCCAATATTGCTGCGACCAGTGACCGTGCTTCTGATGCCGATGCAGTGGCGAGTGGAGCGATGATCTCCAGTTCAGCTGCCCTCAGCCTGCCCATGAAGCGACCCACGGAGGACTGGCGAGGCCCTACGCCTGACCCACTGCTGCCAGGCCGAGCTGAAAGGTGGGCCGGCTGCATATTGAGGCACTCCCAGTCGTTGGAGGAGCGTTTTCAGCTGCAGGGGTCGGGGAGCGGTCTCCTCGATGATCTGCTGCTGGAGGCGCATCGCCACCAGCGGGGCGGAGGGAGCAGCCGGCAGCAGCGGGTGGTGTGGCCTCGCGTGGAGTCGGAGAGCGCCCTTCCAGACGATGGGTTTCTGGGATTCAGCAGCCAGGACCCTGGCTTCATCATACAGGTTGCAGCACTGCCAGCTCCATTGCTCAACCAGCTCCCTCTCCTACCTGATTCCGCTGGGGGGGGGTTGAGCACCTGCCTTGGACAGATGTTCTCAGTTGGAAATATTTCTGCAAGGCAGGAGCTGATCCCGCCCATGACCGCATGCAGTGCGATGCCAGAAAGCGACTCTCTTCCCCTCCCCACCCCTGCACCTCACCAGTGGTTGCCTGGGCCTGGGCCCCCTGTGCCCATGCCTCGCCTGCCATCCGCCTTAACCCCGTGTACTTTCTCCCGCCTCCCCCTCGCGAGTGAGCCTCAGGGACGGGCGCAGGCAGTCACAGGTGCTGGGGCATTCGAGGCGACTAAAAGGCCAGCCCTGCCAGAGTGGGCGATCGTGCCGGGAGGGAGGGGGGAGGGAGTTCCTCAGACGCACAGGCACCAGCAGCGGCCGGTCGTTCCTCAGCGCCTAGAGCTCCAACCCATTCCCTCCATCGCAAAAAGTGCAACGTTCACAGATCGTTTTCACCATTCGAGCTCGGGCATAAAGTCGGAAATCGTCCGCCAAGTGTTCGCCAAATGTTTTTTTCTCGTTTCTTTGCACGTAAATGATTCGCGAGTCTTCTGCGGATGGGATGTTATGCGAATGAGTTGTTTTGTGAATGTTACACCTGAATAATAAACATGTTCCCATGGCTTATATTTGCATAAATGAATGGTTTTTGTACACTTAAACTTCTACAAAGATTTAAAATTGTGCATAAGTAACTGAAATATAATAATATATAAAATATGTGCAATTTGCCAAAAAAACTAACTGAATCCAACCCCAACCAACTCAACCCATATCTCACACGCTATTCGAGGTTCGGCGAGACCTGTAACCAGGCTGGGTTACGCAGCTCCAATGGGTTGCGAAACCCAGATACCACGTCCTAACCCTATGCACCGTGAGGAAATTGAACAACCCCCTCGGGCATCAAAAGGGGCCATGCGATTGGTCGAAGCCAAACAACAACAATCGCAAACCCAACCCACAGCCTGCTCCCTCGACAGCAAAAACGACTAAGGGAAAGATGGTAGCAGATCTCGAATTCGGGATCTGTAATTTTCTCGACTTGCCCTCGTTTCCTCCTAGATCCATGCTCATGCGTAGCCATGCTAGAGAGTTGGTAGCGACTTATAAGATGGGATCGAGGCGACACCGACGTCAGGCTAGTGAACGCGGATATCAATTGAGGTTCTTGGCGCGCGTAGCCTAGCCTGGACGAAATCACCAGCGCCTGAAAACAAGGGCAGGAAACAAATGACGAATCCCCCGCTGCTAACGGCCCACCGTTGCTGGCCGCTATAGCTTCCCGCCGCCTTCGATCTCCTCGTACGAAAATGCCACCCGCGGCTTCCCACATCGTGCTACCCCTGTCCTCGCGCTTCCTTGCTTCCCAAATCCCCGCTTCCCGCTTTCGAAAGCACGTCCGCATCTCACCTTCACGTGCTGCAGCATCTCGCTGTCCCTCGCTTCCTTCCACCCGCTTTCACCCGCGTCCCGCTATCGCTTGCTCCCCGAATCCCGCTTTCCCATGCTCCTCGCATTACCTTGCTCCCCGCATTCCAATGCTCCTCGCATTCCCATGCTTCCCTCATTCCCATTTTCCCGGCATTCCCATGTTCCCCGCATTCCCATGTTCCCCGCATTCCCTTGCTCCCCGCATCTCGCTTTCCCATGCTCCCCGCATTCCCTTGCTCCCCGCATCCCGCTTTCCCATGCTCCCCGCATTCCCATGTTCCCTGCATTCCCTTGCTCCCCGCATCCTGCTTTCCCATCCTCCCCGCATTCCCATGTTCCCCGCATTCCCTTGCTTGCTCCCCGCATCCCGCTTTCCCATGCTCGCTGCATTCCCTTGCTCCCCGCATTTCCTTGCTCCCCACATCCCGCATTCCCATGCTCCCCGCATTTCCTTGCTCCTCGCATCCCGCATTCCCATGTTCCCCGCATTCCCTTGCTCCCCGCACCCCGCTTTCCCATGCTCCCCGCATTCCCATGTTCCCCGCATTCCTTGCTCCCCGCACCCCGCTTTCCCATCCTCCCCGCATTCCCATGTTCCCCGCATTCCCTTGCTCCCCGCATCCCGCTTTCCCATGCTCTCTGCATTCCCTTGCTCCCTGCATTTCCTTGCTCCCCACATCCCGCATTCCCATGCTTCCCTCATTTCCTTGCTCCCCGCATCCCGCATTCCCATGCTCCCCGCATTCCCGTGTTCCCCGCATTCCCTTGCTCCCCGCACCCCGCTTTCCCATCCTCCCCGAATTCCCATGTTCCCCGCATTCCCTTGCTCCCCGCATCCCGCTTTCTCATGCTCTCCGCATTCCCATGCTCCCCGCATTCCCGTGTTCCCCGCATTCCCTTGCTCCCCGCACCCCGCTTTCCCATCCTCCCCGCATTCCCGTGTTCCCCGCATTCCCTTGCTTGCTCCCCGCATCCCGCTTTCCCATGCTCTCTGCATTCCCTTGCTCCCCGCATTTCCTTGCTCCCCACATCCCGCATTCCCATGCTCCCCACATTTCCTTGCTCCTCGCATCCCGCATTCCCATGCTCCCCGCATTCCCGTGTTCCCCGCATTCCCTTGCTCCCCGCATCCCGCTTTCCCATGCTCTCCGCATTCCCTTGCTCCCCGCTTTCCCATGCTCTCCGCATCCCCTTGCTCTCCGCATCCCCTTGCTCCCCGCATTTCTTTGCTCCCCACATCCCCCATTCCCATGTTCCCCGCATTCCCTTGCTCCCCGCACCACGCTTTCCCATCCTCCCCGCATTCCCTTGCTCCCTGCACCCCGCTTGCCCATGCTCCCCGCATTCCCATGCTCCCCGCATTCTCATGCTCCCCGCATTCCCATGCTCCCCGCATTCTCATGCTCCCCGCATTCCTTGCTCCCCGCATCCCGCTTTCCCTTGTTCCCCGCATTCCCATGCTCACCGCTGTCCCATGCCCCCGCTTTCCCATGCTCCCCTCATTCCATGCTCCCCGCATTCCCATGCTCCCCGTGCTCCCCGCATTCACATGCTTCGCGCATTCCCATGCTTCCCACATTCCCTTGCGACCCGCACCCCGCTTGCCCTCGCTAATCCGCTGCTGCCTCTCTCCCCTGTTTCCCGCCACCCGCTTCCCCTAGCTTCCGGCATGCCGCTTTCCCCCGCTTCCTGTTTCTGCCATTCCCCCCTTTTCACATCCCGCTTTCCCCCCGGTAGCGACTAGCGCTTCCCGCTTCACCTCGCGGACCGCTTCCCGCTTTCCCTTGCGGGTCGCTTCCCACTTTCCCACGTTGTAACGTGTTACCCGCTTTTTCGCGCGCCGCAATCCCCTGCCTTCTCATTGAATGAAAACAGATAAAGGTTCAAGGCGCAGCAGCAGGGAAGAAAGCGAGGCCGCAGGGATGGGGAAGACAACAGATAGTAGCGAGCGGGAGAGGCGAGAGGGGAGGGAGAGGGGCACGAGAGCAGTGGAGGGGGGAAGGCGTGAGAGCAGGGAGGGAGTGAGGCATGAGAGCAAGGAGGGAGTGAGGCACGAGAGCAGGGAGGGAGTGAGGCATGAGAGTAGGGAGAGAGTGAGGCATGAGAGCAGGCGTGAGTGCAGGGGAGGGAGAGAGGCGTAAGAGTAGGGGAGGGGGAGAGATGGGAGAGCATGGAGGTATGAGGTGCGTGATAGGGGGGGATGTGGGAAGGCGCAAGAGCCATGGAGGGAGCGAGAGGTGAGAGAAGGGAAGGGAAAGAGGGGTACGAGTAGGGGAGTGGGGAAAGGGAGAGTGCAGCCCGGAGGAGATGGGGAGGGGAAGAGGCGTGAGGGCGGGGGAGGAAGAGGCGTGAGGGGCATGGGAGGGGGAGAGGGTGTTAGGGTAGGGGAGGGGGAGTGGCGTGAGTGCAGGAGAGTGGGGAAAGATGGATTGCAGTGAGGGTAGGGGGGTAGGAGTGAGAGCAGAGGAGTGGGAGAGGCGTGAGGGCGTGAGAGGCAGGGACAGCTGGAGGAGATGGGGAGGGAAAGAGGCATGAGGAGAGGGGAGGCAGATACGCATGAGGGCAGGGGAGAGGGAGATGCATGAGGGCAGGGGAGGGGGAGAGGCATGAGGACAGAGGAGGGGGAGTGGCATGAAGCAGGGGAGGGGGAGAGGGCAGTAAGTGTGAGCGGGATCCCGGCAGGACAGGCAGTAAACACTCTATAACTAACCCCTCTCAACCCCCCGCCCCCCCACTAACGTATGCCCCCATCTCTTTCTTCCCCTCCCCCCCCTCCCCTCCTCCCCGCTCTCTCGCAGCCTACCGGGTGGCACATGATTGCCAGTCAAGCTCACCTTGGACAACCTCTCCGTTAAAAGCCAGACTTCACCCCAAACCTATCCACTCACTCCCCTGTGCATCTCTCAACAAACCACATTCTGTGGGTGATCTCCGTGCGGCCACGCATTCAGACATTCAGCCGTTATTGGCAAATGCTAACCATGTCTCTTCTCTAGCATCATCTACGACGGCTGCAGAAAATGGAAATTATGTAACCCTACATATGTGAACGACACCTCGTAACTGAGTTGGTCCAGGGTTGTAAAGCCAACTTGAATTTTGAGGTCGCAATTTCTCTCCCTCAAGTTTGTTACATTCTTCCTGCCACATATATATGTGACCTTTTCAGGTTATGAATGGCTTGTCGGTCGTTCTGTAAGAGTACATGAACTTGGCACCAATTTTGGCAACAAGAGTAGCTTTTTATCTTTAGCATAAAGTCATATTAGTCTAGATACATTCAGAAAGTCAAGTTCCCATGGAAAGCGATTTAATCTACTAAACAAATCCAAGACACACACTGAGATATATCGAAAACGTCTTAGCATATATAGTAACAAGTGTTGGCTACAACACCTCCATCCAACCACCAAGAAGGGCGTAGTCCAACGGAATCGGTGCAAAACACGGCTTTATGAAATTTGTGAATACCAAACTGAACCGAATTGAATCGCAAATTACAGCGTGCTATAGAGCGCGCGGATTCTGGGATCCAAAATTTCAGGTCCTATTTGCTTGATATTCGGGTCTGTAGAAACACGCCCCTATTCACAAAATGACGTGCTGACCAATCACACACCCTTTGCCCCCACCCTTCACCTGCAACCGAACCCAACAAAATTTATTTATCCAACTCAGCCCCTGCATCTCGTCCAACCAATCAAAATCTGCCAAGTGGTTCCAGAGCGGCTAATCCAGCTCAACCACCTGCTCGCCCCAACCACCCAGCCCACCACGCTGCACCCCACATGCCAGCACTCCATCCCACCACACACTTCTGATCCCTTCCTTACTTGCCCCCTTGCGCCCTCTCATGCCTTCCAGCTAGACGTTACTTACAATAATAGCCCTCGGCAGTTCTATCTGCATCAGTTTCAGCTCCCATTCTCGCCTTCGCGCCCCCTAGTGAGCAGCTCCTTCCTCTCCCACAGGCTTCGATTACCATGGTCGTTCTTAGTGTGCCCTATGCTGAGGATCTCGTTTCACGATGGTCTATCGTTTCAAGCAGCTCGTAGGTGACTAGTCTTGTTCACCCATGTCATTCTTATCTGCATGTTCATGAGCTAATGCGCCATTGGGGGGGCGGGAGAGTAAGGAGGGGCGAGGGGGAGGAGGCGGCACGCAGAAGCGGTATCTTCGGGAGGCGGGGCGCCTGG